AAAGTAATTGCGCTTAGTTTTTAAATTAACCGGGTAATTTCCAAAGATCATTACAAAAAGTTATCTCCAAGTAGGCTGCAGATTACTCTAAATAAACGCATGATATATTTTCCTTCATATTAAAAAAATAAGAACTATAAAAATTAAAATAGTAATTTGTATGGAAAGTAATAAATATAAATAAAGTGATGACTATTAATGATTTTTTTCATTTATTTCGTTTATATTTATATTATAAGCTACATGTTTAAATACACATAAAAGATATACTTGTATTATGAAAAGGTAATAGATTATCGTTAAGATCTAAATCTGAAGTTCTTGCAAGTCACTCAGCATATCCTCATTCTCTTTATCATATTTTGTTTTAATCACAAAGAAAAATAATGAAATAATGAATTACAAGAAATTGACGTACCGTCATTTGGAACATACAAAGTAACAATTTAAAACCTAAATATATAATATATTTGAATCAATATGAAATTTCAATTTAATTGAATAAAAACTAAATTTGCGTACCTATATCAGATGGTATTGATATTAATTTTGAAGTAAAAAGTAAAAATTCGACTTGTATAAATAGCATTTGAATGAATTTGTTGTCTATTGTTTATATTCGAAGAAATTTTTGTTTGCAATTTGTTTCCTTATCAAGTTGTTCTAATTTCAGCCTCTTTAATTTAACATACTCTTTAATTTCTTCGTCTATTTTAGAATTTTCTAAAGAGCTTAGTACTGAAAATGCATGGTATCCAGCTTCCAATGAAGAGTTATAATGAAGATAGATCCGATAAAATGTTTAAGTTCCTCAGCAGTTGGTCTGTTTTCTGGAAGAGGATTTTTAAATAATTTATACCCTCCGGGAAATGGACGTTTACCTGTTACAATTTTGTATACAACCATTCCAAAACTATAAACATCTGCAAATTTTGTGTGTGGCTTTCCATTTAGCACTTCTGGACTCATATAAGAAAGTACTCCAGAAATTTCTTGCTTATATTTTTTGGAATACTAATCCAAAATCGGCAATTTGAGGATATTCATTTATTGCTAATATATTTTCAGGATGAAAGTCAAAATGTACAAATTTTTCTTTGTGAATAACTACCAGATTATTGATGATCCAATATAAATTACTTAATTTATCAAGCCAAAAGTTAATTTTTCGTAGTCGAGATCACCATTGAATATTCATTTATAACTGTTATTCCATAAAACCATCGCTACACTTAAGAGCTGTTTAAATCTATTTTGATAAATTAGAAACAAAAGCAACCTTCGCTTTAGAAATGCTCATTTTTTACCTCGTGTATAAATTCAGAAGTAATTTGCTTTGAATTCAACGCAACTTTCCATTTTTTTATAGTATATTGCAAATAATTTTTTATAATAAAACTATAAATTTAATTATAAAATTTTTGCAAATACTTCAAGAAAATTCTGCTAACTTTAAATAAATATCATTTCGAATATGCAATATCTACGCTTTCATCATATGAATTATAGCTTTTTAGGACTCTTGGAGGCTTTAAAAATATAGTCAATATATACAAAATTTCGATAAATTAGAAAGTGTATCTGAGTAACATTACCGGAAATAGATAATTTATAAGTCATGTGTTTCTCAAATTATCTTAAATTTTGAAAAATCGAACAAAGTGGTAAAAAGAAACATCATTATAAACAGAACATTGTTATATGATGACCACTTTCTCAAGTTTTTTGTACCATTTTAAAGCCTTGTTAAAATTTTTTCAATTCTTAATCCATATGTTAACTTAGGTTATTATCTAATTCAGTAGATTTACAAATACATGTACTTGTATTTTGAAATTGTTTGTATTCATTTTCCAATGTTCTTTACCATTTTGCAAGATAAAAGTTTATTTGCATCATATAAATAATCAAGTGAGTGAATATTTATATCGTGAATTTATTCTTTGCGGACTTTAAATACCATTCAAATGCTTTTTCTTCATCTTTTTGTGTTCCTATCGCATAAAAGATACCACCGCCAAGTTTATATTTCCATCGCTGTTGATTCGAAGTTCATTCAATGCTCATTTTATATTTCGTTATAGCAATAACTGAGATGTTATTGTCTAGTCGCATCATTAGCGTGGCAAAGCCAAAGTAAATATTGTGACACTGCGCGTTATTTTGTCTTGCTGAATTTTCTATTTTTAAAGCAGGTTGATAATCTGTTCGATTTGATTCCGTAATTATAGATCCTACTATTGGTTTTAAAAGCATTTTGTAAATATTCGTTATAATTTGAGAATTTTATTGTTTTTCCAACATGTATCTTAAATTTTTAGCAATATAATCCAATTAGAATTGCGCAATTTTCAAAGTTTATCATTAATTCATCGAGAAAGAATTTAATAATATTATTAAATGATGCAATATCTTTTTTTGTTTGTTTATAGTCAATTATTGAATCGTTGGATGTTATGGAGGCTACTGATAAAGATTTTTTTGAAAAATAAAACCAACACAACTGAGAATTACATAAAAAATTAAGAAAGCAGTAATCAAACGTTGTTTAAGTAGCTGTTAACTTTCTTGAATAAATCAACTGCATAACTTAAATAATTTGGATAGTTAAAATGTCAATGGATTTTTGTCATTTTGTGTTTTTTCACATAGAAACTCAACACATGCATAAACTTTAATTCCCAGCTATCCAAATACATGTACATGTTTTTGAATTGAACTGACAGACCAGATTCGTGACTCTTGCATTAATTATTTGAGATACTTTATATATTGTTTATAATTTATTAAGACTGATATAGTCTCTCTAGTAATATAAAATAATATATGGTTGCACCTTTCTACAAAATCATAGTTGGGTTCAGAACATTTAGGAATTTGCTCTTATAAAGAAATAAACTTTATTTAATATTTAAATATTCTCAGAATCCAGTTCATTGTTCTTAATAGAGAGTGGTCACACCGTATTCTTATCTTATCATCAGCACAAAGTGAATCGTTAGCCTGGTGATACTAATATGTAGACAAATTTCCAGTATTATTAAAATGATCTGAAATTGTCACGGTATTCACGTGTTCTATTTGAACGTACGTTTGTTAATTTTATTATGAAAGTTCACAATCCCCTTAGTCCTGAACAGCTTCTGTTGAGAAATTGGATGAAACAAAGATACTTGTATGTATATATGTGTAAAAGCAGAATTATTTTTTATCGGATTTAGTTTGCGATAGAATGATCTATATATATATAATACAATATAATTATTTGCACATTCATGGCTTCATATGTCACCGAATGATCATACGTCACATAACCATCTACAAATATCTGACAGCGTATTATTTCCACAGATTCGAAAGATAAATTCTAATTTGGAAATGATTTTGCAGATAAATTTGATGCCTGAGACACTACCGTGGTCAATAAAGAAGTACATGTACTTCTCGTTTAGATTTTTGTAAGTAGGTCACATTCTGAATTAATTAATATTTACGATTTTTTTCCATCATAATTTATGCTATTATAAAGTATTCTGAATATATGTTTAAAAAGTATAATTGTAGTTTCATTCAATACGTGTGTATATTCTAGTTGCAGTTGCATGATATCTATTTTTTAAATGAATTATGCTTCAAATATGAAACTTGAATTCAATATGAACAAAAAAGTTCAGCACGTCAAAATAGAAATGGAAAAGAATGATAACGCTTGAAGCCCGAACTATTAAATGTTTTATAATTTAAATACCTAAAAAAAGGATACCAATTGTCTTTTTTTCAAAGCACTACATCACTTTGAAAAAGTATCCGGGAAGATAAAAAATCGAATTTTCTTTCTATGTTTGAATTTTATTTTTGTATTAAAATAAAGATGATAACCTATATTTAGCATATACTTTTTTGAACTGTTCAGATTTATTTGGGGAAATTTTCAATTACATAATCATGCAGAAGTAGCAATAATTAAAATATAAATTTTTGCTAAATATAGATTTTAACACAAAATGAAAATTCTAACATAGAAAGAAGAACATTACAATTTTTTACTTTATCTGGATCTTATATTATGTTCAACCTAAACTTTAGCCTGATTCTAACAACTATAGGCAACCCAATACAGGATTAAAAACAAAAGCATCATGTCTAATAGAATAACTCGAATTTTTTTGTTATAATGAACATCTAAAACTAAATTCGTAAAGCTTTCTCATGACAATTTTACAATTTGGCATTAAAAATCCAACTATCATTTATTTTTAAATAGCATTATGAAAAGCAACGACAGGATTCCAGAATTGCATGAATTTATTATTCCAACAAATTTATATTGTTTTCAAATATGATTTAAGAAATAATTTTTATCAAATGGATTATTCGGTTTCAAATCTAATATTAATTTTCGTGCTTATTGAATTTTTCTTCCTTTTAGTTCGAAATTATGCTGACAAAAAAATAATGACACGATTTTAATAAATTCAAAATTTAAATCCATGACTTGACAAAAAAAATTAAGTTTAATACCGACCTGAATAGACGGCAAGTCCAAACGACAAATCGAGAAGTAATTGATTAATCAAAATTCAGACCTTATTAAATTTGAGCAGGATTAAATAAATCATTATTTGCAAGTTATTTATAAATGCTTAGAAGACTTAAAACAGGTTCAAATTCAAAGTATATCAATACTTATTACAGTTATTTAGTTCGGGCAGAGAACTTTCAAGAAACGACACAAGCTTTCAACAATTTACAATAGAAATTTGGGGAAATAAAAGCAAAAATTTTTTTACATCATGCAGTGTAACAAGCCAATTGATAAATTGATTAACACCCAACAATTAGTGTTAGGTGTTGATCAAAATTTATAAATAGGGCACTTGATTTTTTCCTGCTTGAAACAAACACAAATAATAACGATAAACACAAATAATAAATTTAAATCATCTGAATCATCTTGCTGGATTCGCGTATTAATATTACGCGTCTTTTTTTCAAATAAAATGACGACAACGACCACTCAAGTATTTATTGAAATATCATCCGATGACGATGTTTTTGACACTTCCGCTTCTAATATTGTAGCAGGGAAATCAAAATCATCACCACCGCCACCACCACCACCACCACCATCCTCCTCCGCCAATGCTGAGAAAAAAAGTGACGAGAGACAAATAAAAGCATACAAATCAGTGGCAGAAAAAAATAAATGGCACAATGCTGACGGAAGTCTATTGCCAGTTAGTGCGGAAAACCTTTGCAAATTTATCTCTTTAAAATCACACACGAATTCATTACAAAGTATTCGCTGGTATATCTATGGCATTGCTAAGTATCAGGAAGAAGCTGGGATAAGCGGTGGAAATGATCTTAAAAAACATCCCGACGTTAAACGACTTTTACAAAAAATAACTCAAGAATATAAAATCAAACAAAAAGAATTGGGAATTGATCCAAAGAAGATTAAAAAAGAAAGGCAAAAATCAAAAATTCAAACAAAACTGTCATTTAATCCAATAAATGGTTTATCTTCTTCACCGTCAACTTCTTTTCTCGTTAATCATCAACAAAATCAACAACAATTGTCCTCTCCTACTACGTCAACAAAAAAGAAACAACGTTCTAAACAATTATTGAAAAGTATCAATGCGATTGATTCATTAAGCACAATGACCGAATTAAATCCTCAAATTATAATTGAGAATAATGAGCTTGAATTACAACAGCTAAATGATCACACGAATAAAAGACTTGATCTTTCTAAAGAGGAGTTTCCGTCACGTGCACTTCTAATGTATTTAGAATGTTGGACTGGTAAGCACACACTATTCAATAATCTATACGCTCAATCTCTTATAGTAATCAATGTTATTGTAGAAACGGATGAGGAAGAATTTCTTAAATATGAAAGGGAAAATACAAAGCATCCTCTATTGTTATCTCAATTTCATGGCATTTGGTTGCGTAGAATTAGTGGTCTGTATATTTATAATCATGCAATTAAGTTGGAAAATTAATGACTAATGATTAATTCTAAAGATTGTCTCGAGGACGAAAATTTTCTTAATCAAATGTCCCTTCAAGGTAAATTTACAGAAAATCAGTCATTTTTATAAACAGCGTTGTACCAATACATATATACATAGTCGATACAGATCAAAATACACTAAAGCGTCCACCGCTGATGAACAGTTCAATTCAAAGATCAGAAAATGGAATTCCCACTTTATCGAGTAAGTAATTTATATCAACTCGCGATAATATACTCTACGAGATTTGAAACATCTTCGCTTTCTTTAGAAAAATCGATCAAAAAACGTCGACGAAGAAATTCCGATACGAATAATTCTGAACAATGTCCGTAAATTTTTTTATATTTAACTATCGTTATATATAATTCGGATAAACTTTGGTTAATATTTTCGGTAATTTGTTAGTGTCTCTCAAAAAGCAAAAGCAGAAGCGACAATCACGTGCTAATCCTCTTCAACATCCACCGAATGGTGCAAGCGAACTCAATGTAAGAAGTTGTTTTGTTTTTGTCGTTCTGTCGAAATACTTATCTAATATAGTATTGCCACAACATTAGAAACCAGGCCTATTGTTAGGCTCGAATCAAGCTTCGCTTGATTTTTTGCATTCAAATTACAATAACTTATGTGCCGGACACCCTAAAGGATGCTTGAATATAGGTGACAATCAACATTTGCCCGTCTCTGATGAAATTATCCAATATTGGAAATCGGTACGTTACAGCTCCTGAGGTAGACAAATCGATGGTATATTAATAATTTTTTGCATTTAGAATTCGGCTTCTGATCAAACCCGTGAACTGCAAGAAAGATCGGAGGCGATTGCTTGTTTAGAT